ACTTAAAAAAGAATATTAGGCGCACAGGCAGCAATGCAACGTAGCAAATAGACTTTGGCTGAGTCGAACACCTGGAGTGCACCACCACGAACCGAGTAGAGGTGCAATTTGAAGTACCTACAATAGTTTTTCCGGTGAGGGGAAGTGAAGAGTTGCACCTTATTGCGGCTTAATAGGTCCGCCACTGGTCATGAGCATGAAACATACTCAACTTCATGTTTAGCTAGCTTTTTAATAAATGTACTTGCTACGTACTCTTGTGTAATTTGAAAGATGTATCGCCATAATAAATTATATATATAAGGAGTTTCAATTGAGGGATTCTTTAAACAACGTTATTTGAAAGATATTTTCGACTTTCTTGGAGCAATACTGACATTTCCATTTGGCTAAAAACAGAATGAAGTTAAAGGATATTGTATACTATAAACAAATTGACACTTCAGTACAATACGATTGTGTACTTTTTATGTTTAGAACTGAAATCGAATAATTCACATTCTTTAATTGGATTGTATATAAGAGTAGGGTCATGGCGTAACTCTTCACCCCATCGGAGAAGATTGAATGTATGTCCCGAACCGAAATAGTAAGAGTAACCCAAATCTATTCAATTTGGGTTAGGGTTGGGGTTGGGGTTGAACCCAAATTGAGTCTTTCGTTTCTTTGTTTCTTGTATTTATTTTCTTTATAAGTTTTCGTTGCTTTGTTGATTAAGCCCAATATTTCACTGGCTTGGCCTTCTTTTCTTTAAGAAAATTTTTCAAACTTTTCTGCCTGAAACTAATGAAAATTTTGAACTTGTTGCCAAAAGAAAAAATAATAATAAACTCTGCGATGATTGTCCTTGTATCTTTAACTTTTTTCTTTTCTTTTTGGAGATAAACTCTTTGTGTCTATGATGTGAGACACAAAGAAAGTCGGAGTAACGCACTAGATATATACAGTTTGTGGCTAGACCAAATTCCTACACTTGTCTCTAAAGGTGGGCACAGTCCAAATTGGTTCGATTTTATTCTCAAACTACAGCTGAACCAATAAGAAAATAACAGTCCGGTTTGGTTCGGATTAGCCTAAAACCATAATGAAAACCAAACCAATTCAAACCACTTGTAATCGGTTTGGTTCGGCCGGTTTGTGCCTAACACAATACTATGCATTTTTCAACCTGCTGTTACATTATAATCCTAACATTTTGCCATTATATCATTCCATTCCATCATATGCTAAAACAACAACATTCCATTTAATCAAAAGCTGTCCAATTTCCAGCATGCATCTAAGTTCACAATATCCATCAAAACAAACATTCTAAAGTTCATAAGAAATGAATACAAGATGATAAAACTAAGAAATAAAAGGCTGCCCAAAATACAAGTTCATAATTTCCATTTAATTAAAGGCAGCCCAGTTTCCAGCATGTCCTCATAGTGCACAAAAAAGCAGTTTCAATCAACACAAATTTTAGGATACAAGATGATCAAAATAAGAAATGAATAAGAAAATTACCATAACTGCAAGGTTGTGCATCAATAGAGAATCAATTAGTGAAAATGTGCACAGACAGATTAGCATTTGATCTCCGCATTTCTATATAAGAAATATGATGTGAAGGGTAATGGGAATTGAATATTTCAATTGCCAATTATGTCTGCATTTGGACAGATCAGTACAAGAAGAATTTAACCAGAAACCGAGTTTAAATTTAGGCCAAAATTTCTGACATTCAATAAAAATTATAATAAAAAATTAGAGTAAATACAGGAAGAGTACAAAGAGATGAAAAGGGGACCAGTGCTCCAACCTTAGCTATCAGAACAATTTTAAAGAAAACTACACACCACATCAAGGAAGAAAACCAGTCCTAAAAACCACTATTTTAGTCCCTAAAGAGAGAACTTTCGAATAATCCTTATAAAATAGTTGCACTTGAAACCAATAATGAAGCAAAATATAATGTTCTCTTTCTCGCTCTCTGTTTCTCTCCCTCTCCCTCTTTGACAAGTTGCTCGATGGTCGTTGTATAGGATTAGCAACTTGTCAAAGAAAGACTCCAAAGAAAATCTGATAATGCTAACCCGAACAAGATTTTGTTCATCAGATTAAAAGGTCAATTGTTGTAAGTAGAAAGGGAGGAGCAATAATCTTATCTGATCTCTTTAGTAAAGAGTTTGGCAGAGAGAGGGCCACTTATCCACTGATGTTGGTTGTGCGACGATGGAGGTGCGACGCCGACGAGGTTTCTGCGATACCGACAATGGAGGTGCGACACCGATGAGATTTCTGCAATGTGAGAATGGGTTTGATTGAAGCAGTGGAGGTTGTAGTGGTTCAAATCAACGGTGGCTTCTCAAATTCTCTAGGGTTCAAATGGGTTGAGTGAGGCTGCATGTTCAAGGAAGAGGAGCCTCTGAGATGAGATGAGATCATATGTGAGTGAGGTTGGAGTCCGAAAATAAGTGGTTTCAAGTCCAATTCAGTGCGGCTGGGTGTACAGTAACACTTCTAATTAGCCACTCAACCATTGACACATGTGAATTAATATATATATATATATATATAATTAACTAATATTTAAATGGTTCGGTTCAGATTAACACAGTTTTTCAAAGCTTAAAACTGCAGCTGAACCAAACCACTCCGGTTTGGTTCGGATTTTAAAATTGTTGACTTTTTTAAAGTCAAAACCAAACCAAACCGAAAAACACGGATTAGTTTGGTCGGTTTGGTCGGATCGGCCGGATTGATGCCCACCCCTACTTGTCTCGACCAAAAAAATTTAAATTCTACACTTGAAAATTATATGTACCGGTTTTTCTCCTTTTCAGCCATGCGTCCTAAGATTGGTTGTTGCTTATTAGTGGTTAATTATTGCAACTTCCCAAGAACCTGTTCCTAGTGCAACTTCTGTTGATAGTCCAGCTTAACAACTAAATTGGTGGATTCTAAAATGGAAGATGAACTTGTATGTCACAAGGATAGCACTGTTTTGTTATTCTCATTCAATCATGTTTTGTCATGTGGAATTTTTATCATGCATGACGGGACGTGATTAGTTGGGGATAAAAAAACAGTTCTATACATGTGATATACAAGTTTTTCCCCTAAAATGGGCTAAGCAAAACAATAAAACTATTCCCTAAATTTGTCCACCAAATTTTGTGTCATAATATATGTTAAAATGTCTTATTTGTTCGAAATAAATAAAATTGAAAATGATTCTTTCTTCTCCAAAAAGACTTGTTTAAATTACGATAAATGAATAAATGTAGTAATAGCAGTTACTTTTGCACTGAAGATCTTGTGTTCGAATTTCTCTCCTTTTTTTTTTGAATAAAATAGAAACTTCATTAGATAAACTTCAACGGTACAATCAAAGACATTAACAAGACATTTAAAATACCAATCCCAAGAGGGCAACAAACTAACATGCTAAAAACACAACTAACGCAGACAAAAGTCACACTAAAACTACTAGCCCACATCACCACAATTAACCATAAGCCCAAACAAAGCCCACAAACCCAACATAACCAAAATCAACCCATGAGCCTAGACGAACCCTACCACCATCACCTAATGAAGCGTCGTCGTGGCCACACCCACCACCGCATCTGTAACAGATTTGGGGAAAATATGATTTCTAACGATCTACCTACACATAAGAACGAACAAATAGACGAAAATAACAACTTTGCCAAAGAACAATTGGGTGATTTGCAACAACCTCTGTCAAAGACGATGTATAATCAAATTTAGAGAACATGAGCGACATTAGGGAGTAGGTTTTGGGAGCATGATTTGATTAAGAACATAGACTAAAAGGGGTGATGGGGAACTTCAATCTAACCATGGCTCAAAAGAAACGACCACAAAATGCTTTTTTCCAAAACACCCCAGTGGACTTATTCACTAACCTAAAAGGAAAAGCCAAGCAGAGAGGAAGGGGAGAAGGGGCAGTGACGCTTCTTCCTCCTCCCCCTCTATGGAGTTTTCCTTTAGGACTCATAGAGGAAGAGAGCGGCTAGGGTTTCTTGGGAGAATAAAATGCTTTTGATGGGTCTTCTCTCCTTAAATATTGACTTGTATATAAGAAAGAAGAGTAAATATGAACACCTATATTAATTATATTACTATATCCAAAATGGAAGAAGATTGGCTCCTTCAAATTGAAGAGGAGTTCCTACTTACAATCAATTAATGTGTTTTTGACACGGGTAAAATTGTTTTATTTATAGTAAATTGAGGTTACACCCATAAAATTCATTTAAAATCATTTACAGCCCTTTATTTTATTTTTCTATTTAAAATACCCAATTTTTTCAAATAATGCCCGCTGACTAGGATCCAACTAAGCAGTTACCTAATATAACTTAAAATCTGATTTATTATATTTTTCGGATTCCTAAACTACACCTATTTATAATTTAACGTGTTGTATGGGAGGTGTATTATGTTTTGGTTCCTGAATTTATTGTTTTGATTTCCTCCCACCGAATTAGCCTGCAATTCAATCCTTTTTATGCATCAATTTTGATAATGAATTTAATTTGCATAATGGTATGTTGCATAGGGACCACCTCAGTACCTGTATTCCTGACCGAGGAAGGATCGCCGTTAGGAGGCAAAGCGGAGCTAGCCCAGCACTACCCCCTTACACCCTTTTCGTCAATTCGCCCATCATGCAAACGACTGCCGAAGCTGAGCTTCTGGCCCAAATAACTTCTCTTCGGCATGATATGGCTAAACTACAAGAACAGAACAACCTACTCTCGTCTAAAGTGGACGAAACCCAGCAACTGCTCAATCAGCAACATACGCAAAACATCAAACCCACTCAATCCTTTGAGAGCCTGCAGACTTTGAGTCAGTAGAGGAAAATCAAGAAGGGGGCTAGGGCAACGCCTGCGCCCTCCAAACAGCTGGTAGTACCGGCTCCCAGAGACTAACCCTATTTACCGAAGAAGGTCTACACCGATTGTTGCCATCGGCTTAATGACATGGAGGACGAAAGACAGAGATCTCCGATCAGGATCAATGCGCATCTAAGGGACTCATGGATAAGGGTTCTCGGGAACAAATCACCCATTCGGAAGGTACGAGGACTAGAAGCCAAGACAGAGTCAGACCACGAGTACGTCCCTTCCAGGACCCAAGGGTCAACCTACCTATCGGCAATGCCTACACGATACTCTAAGGCCAAGCTACTGAGTCCACCGAGACATTTGGAGGACTATGGTTCCTAAGAAATTCCTAGCCGAGATCCCGTCATCCCCGACTTCTTTTCAGAAAGTTCAGAAGATGGAAAATGACCGAACCCGATCTTAGGAGCTCGATTGAGGAATGCTTCGACTAGAACCATTCACCGAGCGCATCAGGCATAAAAGGCAGGACAGGGATGTGCAGCCACTTTGCATACCGTTCTACATTGGGGTAGAAGACCCCTTGACGGATCTTCAGTCTTTCCAGTCTGTCGTGGGACGTAATGGTCTTAGTGACGAGGGGCAATGCCTACTGTTCCCATATGCGCTTACCTAATTCTTGTTTTATGGTTGACAACATGCAAATGCCTGTAATATAATTTTTTTTTTAAAATTAAAATGCTGATATCATTGACATAATGAAACAGGCATGTATCCTTTAGCCTTTTTAGTCATTGATTCTAAAAATGAAGAAAATTGGACGTGGTTTCTCCAAAATCTATCAGAGGTTATCAATCCCCAAGGAAGAAATATTACATTTATATCTTATCTTAACAAAGGGTTGCTTGAAGCACTGCCATATGTATTCCCCGTTCACCATATGCCTTTTGTTTCCATCACCTCAAGCACAATATCCTTGCCAAGTACCCATCTTCTTTGGGTAAGGCATACTGCGACTGGATTGTTCAACTTTTTGGTAGGTGTGCATATGCTCCTACAAAAGATGCATTTGAAATGCATATGAGGACGTTAGAAGACGAGGGTGGTGCTGTAATTAGAGAGTTCCTAAAAAATCTTCCAAAAGAGCATTGGTCAGCTGCTTACTTTCCAGGTAAGATTATGCGTTCATTGTTTTTTATTATTAAAATAGAATGTATATGTTGTGCTGATTAGTACATATGGTTTTGTATTGATAGATTGTTTATGTTTTTTTTACTAGTACATATGGGTTCCTTTTTTGTTTTTGTATATGGTATGTAAATGTTGTTTTGAACAAACTTATCATATGTATCCCATGTCCATTGTAGGTAAATTATTGTGGTCAAGTTGTAGAACCGAGTTTTAGATAAATTACTAGCATATTAAATTATATAGTGATGAGTATATATCTAGGAAATTGGTGTAGAGACAGTCATGCCTAATTGTGAGATCTGCATATTGGTTTGTCCTAAACTTAGGTTGTACCCAATGATTGATGTATAATTTGTTCTTATGTGTTGATGCATACACCATCCACTGTAGGTTTTTTGTTCACACTCTGCTGTAATTTTGGTTTACCAAGCAAGAAGTATGGTGAGATGTGTTCGAATGTGGCAGAATCTTTCAATGCATGGATTGTAGATCAGCGTTATTTGCCTATATACCAGTTGCTTGACGGTATAAGGGTCAAGATCATGGAGATGAATGCTCATAGGTGATGTGTGGCTGAGGGATGGAACACTATGGAAAGCAGGCGTCATTGGGATGTAAGTCGTTCAAGTGATTTTTTGTTCAAGGTTCATGGCGAAGACTCTTTAATGGTTGATCTTCAAAGCCGCACTTGTAGTTGCCGGATGTGGCAAATCAAAGGGTTCCCATGTGCACATGCACTTGTTGCTATTCTTAAAAATGGCGAGAACCCTTTTGAGTACATTGAAGAGTACTTCACGGTTGAACATTTTAAGAAATGCAACATACCTATTTTCCCAATTCCACATATTGATAGGCATGCACAAGAGGCAGGTGAAGAGTTTTTGGTGAACCCGCCAGTGTCAAAGAAACCTCCAGGAAGACCCAGGGTAAAGCGGATCAAATCTTTAGGGGAACAGAAAAGGCCACTAACATGTAGCAAGTGCGGACAACTAGGACGTCACAACAAAAAAACATGCACTACCCAAATTTGATATTATCTTCATCTTGGTCCTGCTCATGATTCTTCCATTCAACTCTTTGTTCTTGTTATTAATTTAAGCCTGATAAAATTACCAGTAAACAGTACACCTACTGCAAACATGTAGGTTTTTGTTTTTTCCTTTTTTTTTTTTTTTTTTTTTTCTTGTTATGGTATTGTCTTTTAATAAGGATTATCATTTTTATTGAGGTTTAATCTTGAAGTTCGTCAATGTTTTTAATTTTTAATTTTAAAAATGAATCGCTCAGGTTAAGTTTTACATCTACAGGTGCACTTGTTTATGTGTTGACAATAACATAACAGATTTATCTTAGTATCAATCTAACTCTCATGGAAATAATTTGCCTTGCATATCCATATGCCTATATATTTAGATACATTCAGATTGAATAATTTACCTAATGTATTACGGATAATTGTAAACGGGGTATATATTATCCCATTGTAGGTACAATTAGCAAACAAAAAAAACAAAAAAAAATATCAAACTAAAACTATGCAAACAAAAAAAAAAAAAAAAAAAAAAAAAAAAAAAAAAAAAAAAAAAGAAAAAAACTAACTCATTAGGAATAAGAACACTTAGAAAAAAATAATACCCAACAGTACATAGGCAGAACACATAATTTACCTCTTAAATATGCAGGTAATTTACCTACCCTAAATTAAGATACCAAACAGCATAGGAAGCCAAAAGCACATAATTTACCAACCCCGAAATTGCATAGGCCACTCAAATGTGACCCCATAATGTACTCACCAGGCCAAAATATAATTTTTAAGGACCTATATTGAACAAGCCAAAAATATAGTATACAAAACAAGGGAAGGAATGTGTACGGGCAAAACGAGAATGAAAATCGCTAACCTAATAAATATTTTGACAAAAGAGATGAGTAAAAATTATTAAATTGCAAACTAATCCTTTTTTATATATAAATATATATATAGAGGAACCATACTTTTTCCTAAGCTTTTTCTTTTCTTTCAACAAGTTTGGGTGGGTTTCAATTTCCAAAGCAAACAAATTATCTACAGATAACGTATATAAACACCTCTTGTTTTTATACATTGTCTATGAATATCTCGAATCTACAAAAATAAATAAATAAATAAAATTTGCAGGACGTTAAGAACATGAACATGGAAAGCACAAAGAAGAAAAGAAGTAAGAACATGAACAAGGAAAGCTCATTATTAATGAATAGAAAGTGAAGTAGGAAGAGCTCCTGAGCAATCAGAGACAAACGAACCCAAAAAAGGGAGAGCAATTTACATTTTGTTGTAGCAAAGAAACCAACAACTGACTTCCATAACTATACATTAATGTCCTCATCAGTTTGATTGGAGTGGCCACTATAATCACTTCCGTAAATGATGACCATTCAGTATGAAATCAAAGCACTTAATTTACCTACAGCACATAAACAAAACACTTAATTTACCTACCCAACAGCACATAAACAAAGCACTTAATTTACCTACCCAAGAAATCAAACTCCTAAATATGCACGTAATTTACCTACCCTAAATCACGATACCAAAACAGCACAAGAAGCCAAACGCACATAATTTACCTACCACGACCCCATAATGTACACACCAGTACCCATTTGTAGAAACTACAAGGACCTTATCTACTTACATCTCCTCTACGTATAGAATAACAACAACACACTTCGCTTGTACTCTCATAGCTCATATTGGAATTTCGTCAATACGTGGTGTGCACAATCTGCAACTTAACATACCCAAGTTTTGGCTACAAAAACAACCAACTATGCAATATAGAAAACAACATTTAGCAATGTGAAAACATAATCATAACTGGAAAAAAAAAATTGAAACTAATTGCTACAGAAAATTATACCAATCTAGGTAATGAATGGTACTTATAAGAAGGCAAGAGTTGGGGTAGAAGAAAATGCAAAATTTGGATAGATGAAAAGCTGATAAGAACATAGACAATAAAACATAAATGGCCTATTTGTTAAGATAGCAAGATTAAACAGAAAACGCAGAGAGAAACGAAGAGAAGCAGAGAGAGTTTCAGAGTAATGAAGAGAAGAATTATTGTATTCTCATTAACCTGAAGCTTAGCACAATTACAAACTTTATATAAGCTTTAGTTAGAGCCTTGTTCACGTTTTCTAACCTCTCTAATACTCACTGATCAATTACTAACAGTTCTTCCTAACTGCCTAACAAGACTAACAACATCTTAACCACTTGACTCTTTAATCTTATGACATGTGGCAAGACTAGGACCATTGATATCTTTACATTCCCCCTCAATCATAGGCTTGGAGGAGCCAAGCATAAGATTGGAACACTGGTGCTAGAACAAAGGAGTAGAAAGACCTTTAGTGAGAATATCAGCAAATTGGTCTGCAGAAGAGACATGTTGAATAAGCAAATCACCTCTAATAACTCGCTCTCTGACAAAATGGTAATCAATCTGTAGATGCTTCATTCAGGAATGGAATATTGGATTGGAAGCAAGAGAAATAGCAGAGATATTGTCACAATGGATTAAAGGAGGGATATGTAAAGACACATGAAGATCACAAAATAATTGTCGAATCCAGGCAAGCTCAGCAGCAGCAATAGCAAGGGCCCTATATTCTGCCTCAGTGGATGAACGAGATACAGTATGTTGTTTCTTAAAAGCCCAAGAAATAGGACTAGACCCCAAGTAAACAATAAATCCTGAGACAGAATGTCGATCATTAGGATCACCAGCCCAGTCAGCATTACTGTAAGCATGCAGATTAAGAATACCAGGCTGAAAATGAATTCCAAAATCAAGAGTACCTTTCAAATACTTCAAGATTCTCTTAACCGCCACAACATGAGATTCCATGGGATTATGCATGAATTGACAAGCTTGATTGACTGAGAATGCAATGTCAGGCCTTGTGAATGTGAGGTATTGCAGAGCTCTAACAATTATCCTGTATTGTTGTGGATGAGAATAAGGTTTGAATTTATTACTAAGGTACTCACCACCCCCATCACTCTGAAAAATTCTAAGAGTAGCAGAGAATTGAGTAACCAAGAAGTCACGAAAATAGACAAAAATAGAACAAACCTCTACTTTATTGATCATTGGAAAAATCCAAGTAAATCGAGTACACTCATCTATGAAACTAACATAATATCTGAAACCCTCAACAGATAATGTGGGAGAAGGACCCCAGACATTACTATGAATTACTTCTAAAGGTTTGATAGATTTAACTACTGGATAAGGAAAAGGAAGCTTAGCTAGTTTGCCTTCTAAACAAGTAGTACAGACTAATTTTGAGTTGTCTAAAGAAAAAGAAATATGTGACTGACGTAAAAGAGCTGAAGTGATTGTGTTGGAGGGATGACCTAAACGTTTGTGCCACAGACTTGTATTGACTTGTTGGCCAAGATAACAAAAATGATTCTTGTGAAAAGAGGATGCTTGTTGAAGATTGGATTGCAGAAGGGAGAAAGGAATAGGATACAAGCCAGCTCTACACAATCCCTTGAGAAGAACACTCGTCGTGATCTTGTCCTGAATCCAAAAACCAAAGGCATCACATATAAATTGCAATTGTTATCTTTACATAACCTATGAATTGATAGCAAATTCTGAGAAAGCTTTGGCACATGCAAAACCTGCTTTAATTGTAACGAACAATGTGGAACATCCAAAATGGAAGAACCAATATTAGAAATGCTCAAACTTGAACCCCCTGCAGTAGTGATAGTATCAGACCCTGAGAAAGGAGTAGCCAAACTAAGTTGAGACAAGTCAGAAGTCATATGAGTTGTTGCTCCAGTATCAACTACCCAAAATTGCTCATGAGGTGAAGAAGATGAGAAGTTGGCATGCATGGCACTAAGATTGGTGGAAGGAGGTTTGCTTTGATAAGAAAAGTTGCCTCTGTGATAACATTGAATGGCAGAATGCCCAAATTTCCAACAAATTTGACATTGGACTGAGGAGGTAGGAGTAGAGAGTTGATTGTGCCTTTGATAACAATCAGTAGCTATATGGCTTTTCTTGCTATAGATTTGACAAGTAGGAATGTCAGTGTCAGGACCAAGAATACCAGGGCTAGAAGTAGGCTGAACTTGTTAAGGGCGTGGTCCAGATTGATAATGACTGCGACCTCTGCCTCGACCCTTAAAATGAGACCCACGATTGATAGAGTAACCACCAGTGTTGTGACCTTTGAAACCACTATTGGAACCATTGAAACCAGCATGGTTACCACTAAAACCCTCATTGAAACCAAAGGGAAAATGAGAAGATGGAGCAGACTTAGAACTAGAAGGATAACATTGAGGCTGAGAATTAGAGATACCTTCATCAAGAACAAGAGCCTTGCCTTGAAATGTCTGATTTTGAGCCATCATTGTAGAGACAAAAGGAGATGCAGAGTTAGTTTGTTCAAGAGTGGCTTCTTCAGCAATCAATTGAGATCGAAAATCTTTAAGAGATAGCACATTTTCTCTGCCTCGAACCATGCACCGAAATGTATTATAGTCAGAAGGAAGACCATTGAGAGCCAAGATCACAATATTATCATCCTCAAAAGAAACGCTTGCTGTAGAAGATGATCTCGAGCATCTTTTATCCTTTGCAAATATTGGGAGACAGGTTATGAACCCTTCTCGATAGTCTGAAGTTCACTTTTCAACTGAAAGATTCTAGCTTTGGTTACAGTAGAAAATCTATCTTTCAGTTGAACCCACATATCATGGGAACTAGTACATCCAATGACATAAGAAATCGCAGTAGAAGAAAGAGTTTCAATAAGCAACTGCATCAATGCACGATCATGCATTTTCCAAATTTGATGAGAATCAGTTTCAACACTTGCAACATCAGAGTCCTCATCAAATTGAGTAGGACACTTCCGTGATCCATCAATAAACCCCAAAATGCCATGACTCTCAAGAAGAATTTGCATTTGAAAGTTCCATGTGTGATAATTTGTATCATCAAGCTTGACTGTCACAACAGTAGAAACCGTAGGAAGCAAAGTGGTAATAGGAGATTGAACAATTTGAAGCTAAGTAGTAGTCACTATGTTGAGAATTCAAGAACCAAAAGAGGAGAATCAAAGGTTGAGAAAGAAGAAACTTGCAGAGAAATGAAGATTGAAGAACTTTCAGTTAGACAAAAGATCAAACAGGTAATAGGCATAGCAAAGAACACGAAATTGACTGCTATGGTTGAGTAGAGAATGAAGCCAGAGAGAAAAAACAAAGAGGAAAAGAGTGCGGAAGCAGAAGATCACAAGATCAAGATCGATCCATGGCGAATGATACCATGTTAAGATAGCAAGATTAAACAGAGCGAAACGAAGAGAAGCAGAGAGAGTTTCAGAGTAATGAAGAGAAGAATTATTGTATTCTCATTAACCTGAAGCTTAGCACAATTACAGACTTTATATCAGCTTTAGTTAGAGCCTTGTTCACGTTTTCTAACCTCTCTAACCTCTCTAATATTTTCTGATCAATTACTAACAGTTCTTCCTAACTACCTAACAAGACTAACAACATCTTAACCACTTGACTCTTTAATCTTATGACATGTGGCAAGACTAGGACCATTTATATCTTTACATTATTCTATAGTAAATTGAGCTTAGGTTTTCGTAAGAACAGAGAAAATAAAACATGGTTGAAAAGTTGTATAAAAGCAATCAAATTTATGGGCAGCTTTGAAATTGAAAATGGAAAAAGAGGAAGCAAAGACGTTGTTGGAAACCTACCAGGAATTAAGTCGTCAACGCCAGAATCATTTGTCACCAGTCAGTGTCGTCTTCTCTTTGCGACTAGTCTGAAAAATTGAATGTACTTACGAACCCTAATTTTAAATGGTAGAGACATGGAGAGAATCAAACCTTAGAGAATCTCTGGTTTTCAATAATGGGCATGAAGCAAGGCTGAAATGGAGGTAAATTGTTTTGAAGAGAATGTAACGGTCGGATAGATTGATGTTTTGCTAATGGAAACGGTTAGTCTGTGTTTTTGAAGTCTTGTGGCAACCATGTAAAAACATAGAAAAATTATGACCTTTTATATCCTACATGTCATTTAAGTTTGAAATTGGGTTTTACTAATAGATTTATAAAGTGATGGGTATATGTCTAGAAAATAGAATTTTTTAGGGACCTATATTGAACAAACCCTTTTATTTATTTATTTTTTTCTTGAAACTTTGTCAATATTGTTGGAATTTGACACGTGTCAAAACTCCATTGGTTTTAAGGAGAAACTCCTCCTTAATTTTAAGTATCCATACTTGCTTATTCAAAATTCTCTGATGGGAAATGAGTGTTGCGGGAGGTAAGTGAGTGCCGAACTCGCAATACTTTAATATTCCTCATTGGAAAAACCCATACATCAACTGCCTTTATATGTGGTCTAGAGTTGTGACCTCTTATAAAAAAAAGGAAGACCAAGACTTCAAGTTTTGCACCATCTAGAACTCAATGTTTCAACTAGCTAGCTGGCCATACAATGTTTCATAAATCCCTGCAATTGATGTTGCTGCTCCATGGTCTGCTGCTTCTCACCACTTGTACTGGTGCTGATCACCATAGACCACCACAGAAGCTGCCAATTTATAAGCGTCCTCCTCCTTTGGAAGCGGCAAACTCCCTTGAACAAGAGTTGCTGCCATTTGGTGGCAAAACGTAAGAGAGCAAAGCCACTGCCCGAAAAGCACAAGCCACCTCCACCCAAAAACACAAGCCGCCACCACCACCTACACCAAAACTCAACCCACCACCACCCCCAAACCTCAGCCCACCACCACCAAACCTTAACCCACCACCACCCCCAAAGAGCAACCCGAGACCACCCCCCCAAAAACGGGCCACCACCGCCGCCACCGCCCCGAAACCTCAACCCACCACCGCCACCCCGAAATCTCAACCCACCACCAGCCCCAAAACAGAGCCCCGGTACCACCGCCACCACTCCAAAACACAACCCGCCAGTTACCCCACACTAGATGAAGCTGCACTAAAGGATGCCGAAGACCCGTTTGTGCAAGCCACCGTTAGAACCTACCTAGTCCATTCATGGTTCACCTAAGTGCCCACCCCACCTCACTAAATTATTATGAAGCTAGCTAGCTAGCTATCTTAATATGTACGTATATGCATATGAATATGCATCAAAATAAGTGCTGCATGCACGCGGGTGGGATGTAATATAATCATTTTATAAGCCTTTACTTTACTACTACTGCTACGTATGTACTTGTATTAACTAGTATATATCCTTGAGCATGAAAACGCCGCTCACTTTCTTCTTACCATACAAGCTAAGTACCTGAAATAAACAAATAAAAAAATAACTAATTAAATATTCAAAGTACAATTAGAAAATAAAGCGCACTAATAGTCACAAATTAAGTTAATCCCCGACAGCGGGGCCAAAATTTGATGTGATTAATTGCAACTTGACAATATCGCTCAAATGAATATAGTAGTAAGTAGAGTATCGTTCCAACAGGGATCAAGTAATCTATTAAATACTAGAGTGATTTATTTCTAATTATATTTGAATTAAACGAAAAGAGAATTATGATGATTAAAATCTAATTAAGCAAACAAAATAAATTGAGATTAAGGAAATAATGTAAAAGATGAAAACAAAGATGATAAAGCACTAGGACACCGATTTCACCTAGCTAATCCCACCCAAATCCTTCTAGCTTGTTAATTATAATTACCTAACATGTTGATAATCGTTTTCCCTTACCTCACCAACACTCTCTTTCGAGTTATATTAGTCGTATTCCTTACCATCAACTCACTCTATTCCTAGTTATGGATTTAGATAGCTAAGAACCCATTAAGATTTGTGGAAAACAATAAAGATTACACAAATCATAACCTAGTCTTCTGAGTCGGCTATGTAATTTACGGTACTTGTTACAAGAAGCTATTTACTAGGAATCTCATTCCGGTCTCAACCTAATTCTTCCAATCATGCAATTAGTGGCCAATTAATTGAAAGCATTAAGAACGGTAACAAGCACTCAACATGTATAGATAAATAAAATTAACAATATCAAAGAATTTGAGTATTCATAACTAGGCTACATCATAGCCCTAGTAAAAGAAATTAGTTCATGAAGGACTTATTGAGAATCATGATGGTTGATGAAGACATGGAAGATACCGAATTCTCCAAGTAGAATGCCAAGGTTGCGCAAGCTTTCTTCGTATTCTCCTTTGGATATTTCGGCTATGAATATGAATATGTAGAATGATGGATAATAGAGGATGGAGGATGATGGGTAATGGATGGATTCCTTGAATAATGACCTAAACTCCCTATTTATAATACTTATACAAATCCTACCTATCTAAGGTATAGTTACAATTGTTATAAAAGTAGGATTCCTTTTAAAATATGGTCTTCTTTATTTCTCCTTGTTTGACTTAATAAGACTTGAAATATCTAGAACTAGGAATTTTGACAACATTCCTTTCGACAAAAGGAATGACTTGGCTTCTTGACTTGATTTAATCTTCAATCTTCATCTTCTTGCCTCACACTTTCTCCTATTTCATAATTCCTTCACAAATCTCACAAAACCAATTAAACAACCAATTTAACTCAAAAAAATTAACAAATAAATAAGTAAATGAGGCATAAAATATATATAAAATATAGGCTTATCAATAATGGTTGAGTTTTCCACCAAACATCATTGCACTTTGGAACACGACTCAGTTCCTTTTTTTAGTGCTTTATTTAGGTGAGAAATGGGGAAATTAATGAGATATATAGATCTTGTAATCCATAAACATAATAATGTCAATGCCATCGTGTCATTCGATTACTGCAGGAAATGAGTGAATTTCGTGACTATTAGTCTAATCTTATTAAACTAATATCATTGCACTTTGGCGTTGATGTGAGCCACAGAAAAAGTCAGACTAACGCACTTGACATAATTTGTCTACATATGCCAACGAACAAGGAAGAGTAACGCACTAATTTTTTTTTCTTGTTTGCCTTTCTCTATCCTATGATGATTTGTCATCGCGATCCCTTGGTTTCTAGCAAATGAAGAAGGAAGACTGCTACATAGAAATTAAGGTAAATGCTTAATGTAAACTAAACCACAGAAAAGATATACTCACCCAAGACACTAGGCATATGTATTTAGAAACAAAAGCTCTATACCTTTGATGCAACCATGAGAATAAGCAAGGTGGTTTAGATCATCTATTCTCTACAATTTTTTTCTCAATATCTTTGAATGGTGCTAGACTAATTGTGTATAATGAGGCTAACGGGTCTAACCCAGTGAAAAAAGATTTTGACTTGCAAACCAGTGGTCTCAGGTTCGAACCTTCATGACATCTTGGTAGTGTGTGTATGTGAGTAACCTCCCTCCCCCTTATATTAAAAAAAAACTATGTATAATGAGACCAGGAACTTAATTATTTAAACTCTCCAAGACCTTGCTCCATAATTCGTATACTTGGATGATTGAATCTCATCCTTCGGCAACCCAAAAAGAAAATGATATGTCAATATAATTATTTTGTATTTGTCAAAAAAAAAAATATATATATATATATGTAAAAAGATTTCGGTTAAGTAACTAATTTGTTGTTAATATTTTATCAATATACTTCATAATATGAACAAAATATCAACAATGTGAATCATATATTGTAGATTGGTATTAGTATCAAGCAATCAGTGTCTATAGTTGATTTGGCATGTACATCAAGTGCGATATGATCTAGTCCAATCAATGTGGCCTCAAGCATAAACACCATATATACTACTAGTTTGCACCATCTAGGCTCACTCCCAACTAGATAGCTAGCCAAAAAAAGGATGCGTCCTAAATCCCTGAAATTAGTGTTGTTGCTATTCCTGGGTGTGTTGCTTGTCAGCACTTCCTCTCTTGGTGTTGATCACCACAGATCAATACACGAGCCACTTCCTTTGGAAGCAACAAACTCCTTTGAACAAGAGTCTCTGCCAGTGCCAGGTGGCAAACATCTCAAAGGACCAAAGAGAAAGCTTGCAAACCAAGAGTACAGGCGGCGACCACCCGGATATCCGGCTCCAGAACGAAGGCACAGGCCATCACCACCACCTCCACCACCAAACTTCAATCCCCCACCAGCCCCACCTCCCCTGCCAATTCTCAATCCCCCACCGCCCCCAAGACGCGGCCCGAGGCCACCACCCCCACACCTCTACCCTCCACCTCCCCTGCCAATTCTCAATCCCCCACCGCCCCCAAGACGCCGCCCGAGGCCACCACCCCCAGACCTCTACCCTCCACCTCCCCTGCCAATTCTCAATCCCCCACCGCCCCCAAGACGCCGCCCGAGGCCACCACCCCCAGACCTATACCCTCCACCTCCCCTGCCAATTCTCAATCCCCCACCGCCCCCAAGACGCCGGAGGCCACCAACCCCAATACACAGCCCTGGCAGTGGTAGCTAAGCAGCCAATTACCCCACCATGATGATGAGTCTGCATGCGGAGCTAAAGGATACCAAAGGCTCGCTGAAGCCACCCTCAAAAGCTTGTCCTTTCAACTAAGAGCCTAGCTTACTTCACTAGTTATGTGTATATAGCTGGCTAGGTTAATATGTGCATGATAAAATAAGAGCTGCCCTTACTATGCTCATATACTCCTTTGGATATTTGGGCCAGCTGGTTGCTCATTCCCGTGTTTAATTACGTTTGTAAGTTTGCTCAACTACGAATGAATTGAAAGAGAAAACTCCGCTCGCTTTCGTGGAATATTTAGTCATGTACCACGTACTATGTGTAACTTAAAACATCTTTATTATACATAAAGCATGGACTATATCTATATGAGCTCATGCTTGATAATTCTCGGAGCAGGACTTGTCATTGCCAATTAGGCTTATAAATAAGGAGAGGATCTGGGTCCCTTGTTGAAAACCAATTAAGTTGAGATATATTCCAGTTGGCCTCGAAGAAAAGTGGTTCTGGTCTATGAGCCAAATAATTTAGGGAAGTAAAATATGTCATGAGATTACCAACCAAACGGAGCCAAATTTTTTTAATTGAATGGGCCAACTATTTTTTTACTAGTGGGATCGGAACTGTCTTAGTGAACTAATATATGCGGGTTTAGAGTCATTACGTTTACTTTGGGCGGGCTTCTTGGTTTAAGCTAAGTCAAAATATAAAAATCGTTTCTTTTTCCCCTAGAAACGACTTGGAAAAGCCAACAGGTCTAGCCCAATGAAAAGGGGCATTGACTTGCAGACCAATGGTCTTATGTTCGAACTCTGAAAATACTTGTAGGATAGATAAAAACTGCCCAAACGGGGGTGAATAGGTTGGTCAAAAAATTATAACAAATTAAATTAAATTACGACAAAAGGATTGATATGATGTAATACGGATTTAATAATGAGATAGAAAGAATAAACGAAAAATATTGAAAATATGCCTAAATGAGATGCACTTCTAAAGGGATTCTAATTCATTAAAAATCAAGGAAGATCAAGAAAATAAAATCATATCATACTCCAAAAAAAACATTCATATCACGAGTGCATGAAAAATGACATGTCTTACCCGTGGATCAAATGCCTCATACGTGTTAAGTCACAATTATGGAATTCGGGGATTGCAGAGCTATTTCAATTCTGCAGTTTCTAGAAATTGAACATACCAATTCTGCTTCAACAGAACAACTAAATGACACTTCCAAACCTATATTAAGTTCTAGTAAATGCCAACATAAATGTCATACCAACAAACTCTCATGGCATCTTAGTGGCTAATAGCTAACAATCACAATTATTGATGTCCATTGTCTTATTAGGCACTAATAATGCCTTTAACCACATCATCCTATACAACTGTACACTAATGTCATTGATTTGCTCAAAATTGTTGTAGCGTCCTAAATTGCAATCCATCATTTCTATTAATTATTTATAAATAAAAAAAACAAAGTGAGATAAGGGTATCTAGTGCTTATTGTTAGAATTCAGACTATGATCTGAATTATAACTTGCATTCTACAAATGCTACTAAATGAGTAAAGGTTTCGAAGAGATTTTTCAGAGTGAGAGAGAGCTTGAGGAAGGAGCAGAAAGATGAATATGTTATTCTTCTCATGCACACACTGTGCACTAATAACAGCTGGAATAAGATATTCCAAATTACATCATCCAGATCTAGCCATCCATTCTTCTATTCTAAGATTAGATCTTAGCTGTCCACTTGGACTATAATTAAAGGGCTCACATTTAAATCTGTAAATTTAAACTAAATACAAAACCATATCAGCTAAAACACTTATATTTCAACACTCCCTTCTAAGTGTTTAGCTGAGATTACTCCAAGCTTTCTTCTCAGGTATTCAAACCGATCTCTTGGTAGAGCCTTGGTAAAGATGTCTGCTGTCTGTTCTTCAGTTTTGCAATACAACAAATCAATCTCTCCATTTTGCAAAGCATCTCGAATGAAGTGAAACTTTCTGTTTATATGCCTTGTCTTATGATGATGCACCGGATTCTTGGCTATGGCAATAGCAGAGGTATTATCACATAGAATTGTAGTAGCACCCACTTGTTCTTCACCAAAATCTGAGAGAACAAAGCGCAACCAGATTGCTTGTGCAATGGCTTCTGTTGCATTAACGTACTCCGCCTCTGCTATACACAAAGCTACACTACTTTGCTTGACTAAAGCCCAAGAAAACACACTTGATCCAAGATTAAATGCATATCCAGAGGTACTTCTCATGTCATCCTCACTCCCTGACCAATCACTGCCATAGTAGCCAATGAGCCTTGCTTCTTTTCCTTTCTCATAAGCTATGCCATAATCAAAAGTGCCTTCAATGTATCTCAGTACCCTGTTGGCAGTTCCCATATGTTTTCTAGTAGGTCTATGCATAAATCTAGCCAAAAGACTTGCTGCAAACATGATGTCTGGCCTTGTTGCAGTCAAGTACAATAGACTTCCAACTATTTATCTATAGATCCCTTCATCAGCTTGTTCACTCCCATCTTCCTTGGATAGCTTTTCATTCATTGCAAGAGGAGTAGCTACAGCTTTACAGTCTTTGAAGCCAAATTTGTCTAGCAATGTCTTAGCATATTTCTTCTGGTGCAAGAAAATGTAAGACTCGGTTTGTATCACTCCTAACCCCGAGAAATGGTGAAGCAAACCAAGATCAATCATTTCATATTGCCTCATCATTTCAGTTTTGAACTCCATCATCAAGGCTTGTGAGCTTCCAGTGTAGATAATATCATCTACATATAAAGAAACGATAATAATACCACTTTCTGCAGCCTTTACATATAGTGTTGCCTCACTAGGACTTCTTTGGAAACCTGCCTTAGTGAAGTAAGAATTGATTTCTTCATACCAAGCTCTTGGAGCTTGTTTAAGTCCATATAATGCCTTCTTGAGTCTATACACTCTGTACTCTTTGTTCTTAACCATAAAACCAGGAGGTTGATCCACATACACCTCTTCATGCAACACTCCATTCAAGAATGCAGACTTCACATCTAACTGAAACAGTTTCCACCCCTTTTGTGCAGCCAATGCCACCAATGTTCTAATGGTATCCAGCCTAGCAACAGGTGCAAACGTTTCATTGAAGTCTATCCCTGGCTTTTGAGAATAGCCCTTGGCAACTAGTCGAGCCTTGTTTTTATGAACTGTACCATCTAAATTCAGCTTGGTTTTATAAATCCATTTAACACCAATTACTGGTTTATCAGTTGGTCTATCAACCAACTCCCAAGTCTTGTTCTTCTTTATCATTTCTATCTCATTCTCCATTGCTTTCTGTCATGCTTCATCTTTAACAGCCTCTTCAAAAGTCTCAGGCTCGATAATACACAAGTTACATATTGCATACACTTCTGCAATACTCTTGTATTTCAGAGGTGTGTGATCAACATCCTGTGATCGTAAGTCAGGATCAGCATGCTCCTCTTCTGAAATCTCTTCTTGACTCAAGCTAGAATCACTAGGTTCCTCTTCTCTCTTAGTAAGTGTCTCATTAAGGGGTATTGAGATATCACATTCTTTTCGTGCATTCCAATCCCAAACAGCTGCCTCATTTAATATTACATCCCTGGAAATAATCATTTTTCCAGATGCAATATTGTATAATCTGTAGCCTTTTTCACAGCTGCCATACCCTAGAAATATACATCTTGTACTAGCTAAGTCGAGCTTCTGCCTTTGTTGAGTTGGAACATGTGCATAGCACAAGGAACCAAACACTCTTAAGTGCTTAACTCCTGGCCTTCTACCACTATAAGCTTCAAATGGAGTTTTCTTGTCTAAAGCCTTAGTTGGACATCTGTTCTGAACATACACATCAGTGTTGACTGCCTCAGCCCAAAATTCCAGAGGCATCTTCTTCTCAATCATCATGCATTTAGCCATCTCCATAATTGTTCTGTTCTTTCATTCTGCTACTCCGTTTTTCTGTGGTGAATATGCCACAGTTAGCTGCCTTTCCATTCCCATGTCTTCACAAAACTTGTTGAATTCATTGGAAGTATATTCTCCCCCCTATCACTTCTTATTTTCTTCAATTTGTATCCACTTTGCAGCTCAACAATGGCTTTAAATTTCTTAAAGACATTAAGAACTTCTGATTTGTATCTTAAGAAATAGATCCAATACATACGAGTACAATCGTCTATGAAGGTAAGAAAATACCTATTTGCAACTTTGGTAACAGTTTGCATTGGTCCACAAACATCTGTGTGTACCAACTTGAGTGGGATTGTGGCTCTGCTTATTGTTTCTTTTGGAAAGGAATCTTTGCAATGCTTTCCAAAAGTACAGCCCTCACACACTTCATTGACAGGCTTAATTCTGGCAATCTAAGTACCATTCCTTGATCTTGCAGCAGCTTCAAACTGGTGAAGTTTAAGTGCCCCATTCTTCTATGCCAGACTAAGGATGACTCGACATTTGCTCTTAATGCAACTTGTAAAGTTGTGTGCAGCTTCAAAGGAAAACTTCTGTTGCCTTTCATTTGCACCTTAGCAACCAGATTTGATAGAGAGGAATCATCATAAATTTCAACCTTATTGGCACCAAAAATCAGAACATATCCATGTTCCATCATTTGCCCTACACTGAGCAAATTATCCTTGAGACCAACAACTAACAATACTTCTTTGACATACCTTTTTCCCATCTTAGTGTCAACAACAAGATTTCCTTTTCCAACAACATCAACCAATTGTCATGTTCCCATTGCAACTTTTGCAGTTATATTCCTATCAACATCAACTAATACATATTCTCTGCCAGTCATAATACATCTTCTCTGCTAGTCATATGGTTGCTGCATCTGCTATCCAAAAACCATACGTCATCACATCCTTTTACACTAGCAGAACCCTTATTACTAGCATAAAACATGGTTGGTGTGGATTCGGTCTGAGTAGCATAGTTGAGTTGTTGTGCTGGTTTCTTGCTGTAGCAATCTTTTGCAATATGCCCAAATTTATCACAGTTGTAACATTTTGGTTTTCCCTTAAACCGACACTCACCAAAGTGTAGTTTGCCACAATGTTTGCAGGGGTTTCTAGCTCCATCAGTTGATTTATTATCCCACTTTTTGCCTTTTGTCTTCCAATTCTTTTGATCCTTAGAACCACTTTGACTTCCACTATATTTTTCTAATTTGGGATTCACACTAAGACTAGCAAATGCTTTCTCAGTCTTATCTCCAGAGTGCCTATCTAGCCTTAATTCAAAACTCTTCAAAGAAGCTTCCACTTCTTGTACCTCAATTTCATCCAAATCCTTAGAATGCTCAATAACATAATAGATTGAATCATAAGCTGATGGCAAACTGATTAGTAATTTTTGAACAATCCTTGCTTTAGCTAAATCCTCTCCATAGCTCCTCATTTGGTTTATCAGATCAAACAGTTTGGTAAGATAAGCAGAAATGGACGCATCATCTCTCATTCTTGTATATTCAAATTCTCTACGTATACCTTGCAATTTAACACTTCTAACCTGTTTATCACCATGGAATTCCTTCATCAAGATATCCCAAGCTCCCTTAGAGGTTTCTTCATGAGAGATTCGGGGGAAGATCTCATCAGACACTGCTCCTTGAATCAGACCCAGAGCTTTAGTGTCCTTCATGAGTAGCTCGGTGACAGCCATCTTCCCAGCACCACTCGATTCTTTCTTTTCTTTCTTCTTTGCTTCAGATTCGCCACCTCCCTTCGAATCTGAGCACTCCATCCCCTTCTCAACCAATTCCCAAAGCCCATGAGATTTGAAAATGGTTTTCATTCTTATGCTCCATAACTCATAGTTATCACCTCCAAAGATCGACGCTCTTAACTCACCACCTCCAGACCCTACCATGTTAGACATAGATCTTCAAGAAAACAAGCTCTTCAAATCGCAACTTTCTTCACAAATTCAATCGCCCAGCTAAACAGTCGAACCTGGCTCTGAGGCCATGTTAGAATTCAAACTATGATCTAAATTATAACTTGCATTCTACAAATGCTACTGAATGAGTAAAGGTTTCAGAGAGATTTTTCAGAGTGAAAGACAGCTTGAGGAAGGAGCAGAAAGATGAATCTGTTATTCTTCTCACGCACACACTGTGCACTAATAACAACTGGAATTAGATATTCCAAATTACATCATCCAAATCTAGCCATCCATTCTTCTATTCTAAGATTAGATCTTAGCTGTCCACTTGGACTATAATCCAAGGGCTCACATTTAAATCTGTAAATTTAAACTAAATACAAAATCATATCAGCTAAAACACTTAGGGCTCGTTCGTTATCATTTTCTAACCCCGTTTTCTGTTTTCCGAGAATAAAAACAACCAAAAATGCATTCGGTGCAATTAAGTTAGAAAACACGGAAAACGAAGAATTGAAAACGATCTCAACTTTCTTCATAAAACGAGAAAACAACTTTTAGACGTTTTCATCATTTTCAGAGGGAAGTGAAAACAGGGGAAATAGTTTCGGCTGGAACAAGACATCATCGTGCTCTATTCCATTCTCACCTTTCTCAAATCCTAGACCCAAAAATTAAACACCCCACTGTCTCTTCCTTTCTCTCTTTGCCTTCTTTTGTGAGACCCACTCCGACTTCAAGGCCACAGCCTTCACCACAATCAGATCCTTGGCTTGAATCAAACTCGTCAATGCCATAGCCTCCGTTACAGCCTCCCTCCACCATCACCACCCAATCACTCGAACCGTAACAGCCACCGGCGACCCAATTGAACAAATCGAGGGTCATAGTTATTGTGGTGGTTTGAATTATGTGTTTCAGTGTGATTTTGTTGCTGTTTTCACATGGGTTATATAAACCCAACCAACACCAGCACTCATGGGAGGAGAGGATGTATGAAGAGATATGAGAGAGTGAGAGTGAAAAAAGAGGAGAGTTGGGTGGTGGGGAGTCTCTGAGTTGGAAGGAGGAAGGAAAAGTGTGCTAACATTTTTATTTTATTTTATAATCTTGTTTTAATTAAACAATAGTTTCAGATAATTGTAGGTTTTTTTTGTTATAATAAACATTAAAAAATATTAATAAAAAAATAAAAATTGAAAAGAAATGACACTTCATTGTTTATTTTATTCTCATATCCTACTAGAAGAAGTTTTTTACTCAATAATCTGCATTTATTTTGGGGGGAAAAATTTTGTATGTATAAAAAACTATTCTTAGATGCATACTTGTTCAGTTTATCAATTAACCAACAAAATTCAACTTTTAAATTTATCATTTTCACTTATTATTAAAGATAATTCTAGGTTTTTCTAACATTAGAATTTTATTATTTTGTAATTATTCTTTTTAGAACATACATTATCAAAAATATACTTGAAAAATAGTTCACATATTATTATTCTCAAATTGTACTACCAGACACGTTTTCACTGTTTTTATTTTCTGAATATGTTTTCTAATTAATCTACCAGACGCATTCTTGAATCCTGAAAATACAAATTTGTTTTCTCGTTTTCATTCTTTGAAAATATTCTCTAAAAACATTCTCTGAAAACATTACCAGACAGGCCCTTATATTTCAACACTTATAGCCCATCCTTACATGATTGCCATCTTCTAGATTTAAGCTCCATGACCCTAAATAGCGAATATGCAAAATGGTACTTCGATGAGAAGGAAGAAAATCTAAGCATGATAAAAAACTAAACAAATATTATTAAATAAATAAATAAGTGGGAGAGAGAAAGGAGGTGTTATGAACTTACCGCCGTATACGTGCGTGTGAAATTGGTGTGCTGCCGCAGAAGTGCTCTTAACGACCCAGTTTCAAAGTGTTTTCTCAAAATTGGTGGCCTTCTGTATCATTTTTCTGGTTTGTTTCCGCCGCACTCATCACAAACCCACTTTACCCCTCTCATTCATTCATTCCCTGATCTCCAATTTCTTCTTTAAGGAAACAAAGATTTCAAAGAAATATTCTTTGTTTTTTTTACTTCTGCGTGCACCATTCGTTATTGAAAGATTTCATTTTCGTCTTGGGGGGAGGATCAAGAAGGAACTTGGAGATGGAACCTGGTGTTCTTGATAGTATAATTAAGAATAGGCTTATTGAAGTAAGAGGGAGACCAGGCAAACAAGCCACCACACCGCCACCCCGAAAGCGCAAAAATCATTGCCCTTTGGAACACGACTATAATATTCGATCCCAGTTCCTTTTTTTAGTGCTTTATTTAAGTGAGAAATGAGGAAATTAATTTGATATCCCATAAACATAAATAAGGTCGATGTCATCGTGTCATTCAAATACTGCAGGAAATGAGTGAATTTCAGGACTATTAGTCTAACCTTATTAAACTAATTAGCCAGTTGTCGTCTTTAATTTTGTACCTATCATTGCAATTTGGCGTTGATGTGAGCCACAGAAAAAGTCGAACTGACGCACTAGACATAATTGTGAGAATATGAAGAAATATCCCACATCAAAAAGTTAAGAAGCATATAGCAAGGACTTTTAAGAGCATTTCCACCCATGGTGCCATGGCAAAGGGCAACGGCAAGTAAGGGCACACACTATTCATGTGAATAGTGACTGCCCTTCCCTTTTTATTTTATTTTTCCACCTATTGTCATGGTAAGTAAAGGCTAACATCATTCACGTGAGATATACGGAGAGGAATTTGTATGGAGTTTTGATGTGGGAAGTGAAGAACATGGCTAGGAATTTATAAATAAATAAAATTCTGAATTTTTGGTTTTTTTTTTAAATTTTTTAATTTTTTTGGGTATTTAAATTGGTCGTTGATGTCATGCTGACATCAGCAAACCCAGTCAACAGCCCATGCAAGTCTTGCCTTTGGGCTTGCCCAGGTTGATGGAGCCCACTCCTTGCTCGGGCTAGCCTTCACTGCTAGAATTCGTTTTTGGGGGCTAGGGGGCCTTCTGCCCATGCTGGCTTACACGGGTGGAAGTGCTCTAATGAGTTGAGCTACAACTCCCATTGTGTGAAGCTATCCTAACATCCACATGTACTCCACATCACCCAATATATGTTGTCCATGTATTAAGCTTGAAATGTCGCCATAAAATGCGAGGGTATGTGAGAATATGAATAATAACCTCGACAACAATCAGAATGGCTTGAATCATCTATTTTCTACAATAATTGTTTCCTCAACATTTTTGAATGGCGCTAGACTAACTGTGTATGAGGAGAGAATAAACTTGCCCATTCATTTATGTTTTCAAGGCACCATTTTCATTTTCATTTTCTGTTTCACATTTTCACCAAATACGCCTTTGGCACCGCTAAATTGAAAAACACAGGATTTGTTTTTTGAAAATGAGTTCAGCGACCATGAACAAATATTGAAAATGATAAATCAATTTATCGTTTTCTAAGAAAACAAAAACACGGCCTTCCTTCTTTCTTAAGGCCAGTTTGGCATTGCTGTGCTGTGAAAATAATCGCTGTTAGATTTGCTGTGAGAGAAAGCATTTTGGCTTTTGGTAAATTTTTTGTTAAAAGTGTTATTAGTACTGATTCCCCCATAATCAAAAAATGATTCATGCATAATCATCAAACTCAGTGTCTCTTCGAAACTGATTCATGCATAATCAGAAAATGAGAGCACCTCATTAGTTGTTTTCCCTTATAGCTTTCTCTCACGGCAATTTTTAACAATAAATGATTTTCTCATAGTTTACCAAATAGGCTAGGCTTCCCAATTTTTTTTATAAATCACTTATCACATCAAATAAGCAATCATTTGGCATGCAGCTCGACCATTCACACACAGCCCCGGCCATTTTCCAAACCTCCAGTAGCAGTGAATCCATCCGCCAAGTTTTGGGCTCCAAAGTCCCGAGCGCCAATCTCCCAGCCATACTCAAGTGCAGCCCGGTTGCTCGTATCTTCAAAAGGTGTCCGGGTTGTGTGAATTTTCACCACCCCAAAACGTTTTCACATCTGATTTCTCTCACAGCAAATCTGACAGCGATTATTTTCACAGCACAGTAATGCCAAAGAAAAAGAATTTGAAATCATTAATTTGATTTATAATCCTTTTCAAAATCATATTCATTTGATACTAATAATAATAAGTTAACTAAAATCTAACTTATTTGGGGTGAGCATGTACTCTTTGTGATATTTCACTTTTTTTTTTTTTGTGGCTTATTTATTGATATGTTCCTATGCTTTACTGAAAATCTCAGTTTACCCCTTGACTTTTCAACTAAGTCAATATGCCCCTTGTGCTATTAGTATGTGTCTCACGTTGCCCCATTCCGTCAACTTTCTCAATAAAAATGTTTTCTTGTTAGCCTGACATGAACATTTTAGTAATTTTAGCTATTAAAATACTTTAAAATATAACTTAAACACCAAAAACAATTTTAAATATTTTAAATTTCTTTTTAAAATTCAAACAACTCTCAGTTTTATGGATTAGTTAAAAATCAATAAATAAATAAAATAAAATAAATTTATCACAACTTAGTTATAAAATAAATTAGTTAAAATTCAAACACCCTCCCCTGCCCAGCCACCTCAACCACTATCCACCACCGTTTACCTCCATCTCTCTCTCTCTCTCTCTCTCCACCAACAAAATCCAACACTCTCACCCCAAACCCCGACCAGGTCTAGACTTGATATTCTCCAACTTCAAGCAATCATTTGCTTCCAAATGGTTGGGATATGGATGGAAGATGATGATGACGTTGACGACGACAAGAGTGGATGTGGATTCGGTTGTAAAACTGCAATTCATCTCCCCAAATTCAAAAAGACTTACATGTAATGGGGATATTACTATTTTGCTATTCCCGGTCAATAACACAATGACAAGTGGAAAAGTTATCCTACATGTCATTGCATTATTAGCCGGAAATAGTAAAAAGTGATATTCCCGTTGCATGAGAGTTTCTCTTACCTACTTCCATGTCTTGAATTAGTAAGTTGAGGAGGGGAGAAAAGAGGGGCTATGGAGGTGAGAGGTGGTTGCGGCAGGGTGAGGAGGGGTTGTTGGGTTTAATTTTTTTCTATTTTTTTGTGTGGATGCTGGGTTTAATCATCGAGAATATCTTTTTAATTTAGGTAATTATCAAATTAATAATAATTTCCTTAACATTGGCCACAGATTGGCCTGTAAAAATCAGGCCCAAACACCCACTTTAGCCGTCTCATTCATCAATTGGAAATGGCAAATGAACATGAGATTTCCACATTTTAATGGTTGAAGTGGAGGCACAAAATTCATTATTGCACTTTGGAACACGACTATAATATTCGATCTCAGTTCAATGCTTTATTTAAGTGAGAAATCTGAAATGAAATTAATGAGATATATGGATCTTATCCCATAAATATAATCAGGTCAATGTCATCGTGTCATTCAAATACTACGGGAAACATAATTGTACATATCATTGCGAGATATGAGTAGTGGCGGATTCAGAAAATTTCATTCCTGGCGTCAACATGTAAAAAGTTAAAAAAATTCCAATACAAAATAGACCCATCGAAATGAAATAATAATATTTTAATTCATAGTTAATAAATAAAACCATACAAAATACTCATGTTCATTATCAAAGAGAATTGCATCGGCCTCAAAAAATAGACACATGCGGCAATAAACTAAAAATATCTCTAAGAATGTGATAATAAACCAAAAAATTAACACAATCATCTTTGCCTCCCAAGGCGTCTCGTCCTATTCGACGTAAGAACTACCATATATTAGTGTAATCCTGCTCATTTTAGGTCATTTACATCATTTTTG